TATATATATATATATTTGACCAGCGAATATAATTATTTTTAATCGATCAGCCAGTTATAACGGTTAAATAAAACCAGTCAAGAGTTATGTATATACTACTACTGTATATATGTTTTTATTTATAACCAAACATTGTGCTAAAAAGCTTCAACCTTTTGTCTCTCTTTATTATTCCTTTCCATTTCAAGAATCTGAAACCCCTTCATCTCATTTCTTCTTTTGAACAGCTTCATTTTCATTTCAATAGCAGTCGCCTTCCCAAATTCGAAATCTTGTGCTAAATTCGATTATCATTTCTTTCAATTTCAATGGCAATGGCAGCGATTTCACCTGAATCCCAAATGAATCAAAGAACATGGCCGTGTAAATCGGACGGTGGTCCTCGTTTCACTGCCATTTCATTCATCGGAAAAGGAAAACATGGCAGTAAGAATGATAATCCAAGATTAACAAACAACCCCACAATCAATAATTTCCAAATCAATCCAAAAAATCAAGATTTCGCAGATTTTTCACAACTTCCTGACGATGTGCTATTGAAAATTGCTGCTAATTTCACTTTGCCTAATTTACGTGCGGCTTCACAAGTATGTAAGTCTTGGTGTGATGGGTTGAGACCCTTAAGAGAAGCTATGTTGTTTCTCAAAAATGGGAAGCGGTTTAAGCATGGGCGTGGAGGGGTGAAACCTGATTTGAATAAGGCTCTTGAATCGTTCCTTAAAGGTGCGGCTCTTGGGTCTACTTTGGCTATGGTGGATGCTGGATTGGTTTATTGGGAAATGGGGAGGAAGGAACAAGGGATTGCTTTTTATAGAAAAGCAGCTGCACTTGGTGATCCTGCTGGTCAGTGTAATTTGGGGATTTGCCTCTTGCAAGGTACCTTTTTCTCTGTTTTGCTCTTCCAATTGAATTATTCTACTGGGTCTGTTAGCTGTGAATTTGGATAAAGTATTGCCCTTTCACCTTGAAAGATTCCTTCGAGAGGGCTATAGTTTTGTCGGGGAATCTTATGGTAGACTCTAGGTGGATATATCACCATTCATCTTCATTATATAGCAAGGTGACATAATTACAAGTTTGCTTATACTTGGCGTAGTTTATAGTCGTAGTCGAGTAGTCTACAAAGTCTAATCTTTTAGTGGAAATAATCAAATTGGCAGGACGATCCTACCAGTGAAGTGAATGCATAGAATATAATTGGGTGGTTGGAAGAATGGCGGTTTGTGGTATAGATAATGTATAATAGTAATAGTAAATGTTATACAAATTTGGCACCTTGTTGGTGCAATCAATGAAATGAATACCTTATATGTTCCGGAAAAAAAATAAGATGGTAAATTTTTGTGGCGAAATGAGCACAATTTTTTTGGTCTATATGAGATTTAGCAGCCTTAGTTGTGTCAGTACATTACTAACTGTGGGATTGATTTAGCCATCCACGTTTTAGTGTCTAGAGGTCTATGCTTTTGCTTCTTATGCTATGTCCTTTTTAATTCATGTTCAGCATTAAGACTTACGAGACTAGTTATTTGCGCTTCAGATTTTGTTTGATTTATTTATTACTTAACATTCAAATCTTGTTGTGATGCCCCTTCTAATCATTATCAGTAATTGAGGTGTGTTATCCAACATTGAAAGATTTGGTGTAGGAGGGTGAGGTGATTCAAGTTGTTCATTTTTCTTTCTGCAAACTTTATCTTTGTTGAACCAGTGGTGCTTTCAGATGTTTCGGTAAATGCAATGTATATTTGTATGTGTCTGGTGTTGGCTCTTCTCTCTTTAACTTCCTTTACAACATCTTGTCCCCATAGCTTCCTGATATCTTTTCTGCACCATCTCTTTCATTTCAATCATGCGCTAAAGACCATCGAATGTGGTTCTGGAGTACAACCACAAGCCACAAGCCACCAGTTAACCAATAAACTGCAAAATTCATTATAATGAATTGAAAGGAAATTAATTGGAGGCAAAGGATTAGGGTAGAGGGTAGAGGGTTAGGAGGTAGTCGAACAATTTCTCTCTTTCCTGTGAGAGAGGATGGTTCTAACTTAGAACACCTTATCTGCTTCATGTTATACTTATCAATTTAAGACCATAAGCTCTAGATATTAGGGTTTCCGCTGTAAACCGAACACAAGGGAAGGATCGTTGTTTTTACCAAAAAAGATCATTTTATCAGGTAATGGATACACTAATATCATTCCTTTGGCTATGTATTATGTATAAGCCTTCCAAAAACTGAAAGCTTGTATCATACAAGTTGTATGCATCAGGTTCATAAGAGTAAATACTTTCAAAAGGGATAAATTTTAGTGGCTCAATTCTGTTACTTCTTTTGTTGTTTTTTACTTTGGTTATCTTTGCAATTTTTGCTGTCAGCACTTATTTATAGTATTTTTGTTTACCATTGCCTTTACTTTTGTATTTGTCAAACCTATTTTTGTTAATGCTTTTCTTAAGCCGAGGGTCTATCGGAACCACCTCTGTATCTCACAAGGTAGGGGTAAGGTATGCATACATCTCATCCTCCTCACATCCCACTAGTGGGATTACACTGGATTTGTTGTTGTTGAAAATATAGTTTAAGGGGGAAGTAACAGGTAGTACTAATAGTTGGGAGAGGTTATGCAGTGCCCCTCATAAAATTTAATTGGTTGCAAATTCCCCTTTCAACACTTGAAAATTGTGAAGTTTACACTTCTCCAAGAGAACCATTACGTGCAAGTGTAGGGAAACTTGAAAGCAAACAGACTGTTGGAAGGCCTCTGCAACACTTATCCTGAAACGTTGAAGGCAGCAACACATTTTATGACTATTTGTCCTTTCTTTTTATGATTCCTCTGGTGATTGTATCTGTGAACAAGAGTAGGTTCTGCTTCTACCAATAGTGTTTTGTTGTTTCCGTTATGCATCAAGTATGGTGAATTGTTACTTCTTTTAAATCATTATAGGTTTACATATGCATGTGAAGTCATGTGATCGCTAAGAGCACCCACCGCCACCATTAGTGCTCACAAATGGTGGGAAGAATCGGATATAGGTGAGTTGAACATGGCTTAGAAAAGAAAAGAACGGATAAAATATCCTATTTGCTCAAGAAGCTACCTACCTTTAACAATCAAAAAGAGAAACACTCAAGAAGCTATTTCTTTTTTTTGGTTAGTGGGGTGGGGTGGGGGGAATGTGTTTTCTGAAACAGAAAGTCTCCAACTTTGGATGGGTCTTGTCATCTTGTGGAAGGAAGTTGCGAAACAGAGGGCTTTTCAATAGTAACTGAAAAGACGAAAATAGTTTAAAGAGCTATAGCGGGATATAGGAAAGGATAGGACTTTTTATAATCATAACTTGCAAGCAGTGTTATCAAAGGCGCTCTTATGCCCTAAAGCGAGGGTCAAAACGTGTTGAGCACTTTGCCTCGCTTAATGTGCGCTTCAGTGTCGTCATCAAGACTCTAAGACATACTTCTCCTTGTGAATGAGCATTTCCTGAAGAGGCGATACTAAACCATTGATATTTCACTTTCTCGTAAAAACATCAATTTCTTTGTCGATATATTTGTTATTAATGCTTATAATTATTAATCTTGGACTAAGCATATATATATTTGTATGTTTTCTCCATTTGCGTCTTTCCTCAAATCCACGCTTTATTTGCTCTTTGCGCTTAAAGCGCCAACGAACCTTAGAGCTTTTTTATGCTTTTCGCTTATGATAATCATAACACTGTTTGCAAGCCATTTTAAGCCAACTAAGTATGATGGACCATCAGTTAGTAGTTTGTTAAATTATATATTAGATCAGTAAGTGACATAAGATTCTCAAATAAGTAGTAAAAATACAATTTAGTGCTGAAGTCGCTATTGGTCAAGTGGTGAAAATTGAGGAAATTAACTAGTATAGCCTAGCAACATACAAAGGGGGGAAAAGTTTTGACACTAGTAACTAAAGATAAGAAAATATATTTTCTTAGCTAAGACAAAAATGAAGTTGAAGAAAGGATCAAGTATCGAAACAGAATACAAGCAATTGCAGTGCTTATTGTTAAATAGTTTTGTCGGGTATAGGTTTTAAGTTAGTTTTGATATTCATATCGGTAAAATAGTTTGGACTGGCCCCCAAGGCCTAGCTCAAGTGGCAAAAGGTGGAGGATTTGTGGCTTAGGTCGCAGGTTCAAGCCCCACACCATGCAAAGCGAAGCCTGGTATTTAAGTGGAGAAGGGTAGAGGGGAGGGCCCATTATCCACCGAGTTTAGAAGGCTGTGATTGGTCCAAAGGGCGGGTCACAGACGGATTTCTCGGTTATAAAAAAAAATAAAAAATAGTTTGGACTGCATAAATTAGTTTCAGTATAGTAATACTAGGTTTACCCAATATAGTGAGGGAAAAAAAGAGTAACACCAGAAGCAAGATATTGTCAAATACAACTTACACTTACACAGGATATGATCACATCTAGTTAAAAATGAAAACTGAAAGAAAAAATAAATATAAAAGTCAACACTAATGGTAAAACATGAAATGCTAAATCTTGTTTACAGAACTTACGAGAATCTTTGGGTAGCGACGAGCAAGTCCCTTTTTGCCGTAGGTTGTATGGGTTTGGAAGGATTGGGATCTTAAAACCCATATTTATCCATGAAATATTCATTTTTCAAATGGATAACATGGATATTTGATCATTATCCAACCATTTTTAATTGGGCGGTTGGGTCATGGATGGATACTTGTTTTTCAAATCCGTTTTGCCAATGCTACCTACCAGAGACTAAGCGTTTGATTTGCACTCACAGAGTTCTATATGGAAGCATTTGTTTTACAAGTTTTAGCATTAATTTTCATTACTTTAGGTTATTGTGTCTCTATGCAGTAATGACCTCTTTACTCTATGCAGCTAACCCTCTGGACAGTGAGGAGGCTATTAAATGGCTTTACAAAGCTTCAGTTGCAGGCTATGTTCGAGCTCAGTACCAACTTGCCCTTTGTTTACATAAAAATCGTGGCCCAAGTAGGAATCTTCGTGAAGCGGTATGAATTTTTTGTTTGCTTTATCATTATGTTCTTGTAGTAGACGTACAATATCACTTTGATTAACATTGTTCAAATTTTAGATCATATCATACTTTAAGGTTCTGTAATTTCAGACTTCTGAGTTGTCAAGTAAATTTGATTGAATCGAGAATTAATGGATAAATTCTGGAGCAGCTAGCATTATCTGTTAGCAAATTTAAGGTGATTCTTTATCATACACAAACTGGAAATTTTGAAACCGTTATCCCCAAGAAGCAGCACTGTGAAAAGTGGTCCTAAACTTGGCTCCATGGACTTAAAATTTTAAATTCATGATTATGGTTAAACAAAAAGATATCTGTATTTTACTTTATATACAGATGACTGGATTGTTCCTATGACGACTTTGCTTGTGAAATGCAGGTAACGTGGTTTCTGAAGGCAGCAGAAGGTGGATATGTCCGTGCTATGTACAATATAGCAATGCGCTACTCAGTTGGAGAAGGTTTAGTTCAATCTCATAAATTAGCAAGGAAATGGATGAAGAGAGCAGCTGATCGAGGGCATAGCAAAGCCCAATTTGAGCATGGACTCAGTCTATTTTCCGAAGGGAACATGAAGAAAGCTGTTGTATATTTGGAACTTGCCACTCGTGCTGGTGAGACAGCAGCTGATCACGTCAAGTATGTTATACTTCAAGAGATGTCCACTTCTTGTCGTGACAGAGCCATGCTTCTTGCTGATAATTGGCGTCCTTTGCCTTCTTCATCTCGCTGATTGAGTCTCCTTCTTGTTGTTTTTTCCAGCCTTAATGCTGCCTAAGCATATTTTCTCTAGCATGCTGCCTTTGAACTTGTTTCAAGTACAAAGTGTAAATATACATAGTTTTCTTGTAAATAATTTTTTTCCTTAAAAGTTACAATTTCCTTATGGTTTCTGCTGAATTTGTCACTTCATTGAAAGTTAATAACGCTTTTACAATTTGTTGTTTAGAGATGGTACCAACTCTCATGGGAGATGTAGTATAGGCGAAAAAGTTTTATTAGATACTCGAACAAATTATAAGAAAACAACAAAAAAAATAAAACTTACTAAGAATTGTGTGAGTTTGGTTATTATCTCATTTTTAGTCCATTTCAGCTCAAGTAATTTTGAGTGAGTCATTTATTAACTCAGCCCGTTCTGACATGCCAAGATTTAGCCCAACCTCCATTTGACACCCCCTACTCGTGCCTGTCCAGAGTACATCCTTGAATACATTTAGGTTCCTATTACACAGTTGCTCTGTTATGAGATTCTACTGAACTAAACAAACTGAATTGAACAAATGTAAATGACACTTTGAAAAATCTATAAGGGATGACCGCGCTCGGCTCGGCCTCGACTTTGACTTCTTTTAGTACATTGCTACAACTTCTGTTTAGCTCGTTCCGTGCTTACTCACATTACAGAGTTGCTCTATTCTAAGATTCTACTGAACTAAACAAATGTATATGACACACTTTGAAAAATCCTAAAGGGAAGAGAAACATAAAAATAGAATTGACTATTGCAAAAGACTTTTCCAAACACAAAAAAGACTTTGTTTTACCATCACCAAAACTAGACTGCCAAAATTGAAAATAAATAAAGGAGTTATTCAAATGAGATAGAGATACAAAGTTGACAAGTGCTACATTTACAAGTCCAATCAGCAAATATAGCAACAGTTTCAGGCAAATTGTAATAGATAGGGGTATACATGGTCGGGTTGGTTTGGGTTTTTTAAATATCAAATCAAACCATTTGTGTCGGATTTATAAATTTATAAATCAAACCAAACCAATAAACTCGGGTTTTTGAACCTCGGGGTTTTTCGGATTTTTTCGAGTTTTTCGGATTTTCCGTTAAAATATTCATACAAACATATAATTTACTTGTAATTCAAATACTTCTTTAGTTCTACCATAATACAAGGTGTTTTTTAAGAAAATAACACAAAATTTGATATGATTAATGACACTAAAATATCCAACAAAAAAATAATAATGAAATCACATAAACAAATATTGCAAATTAATAAGTCATAGTGAAAATGATCATAATTTAAAAGTTTTAAATCATGCTAAAATAAGTTTAATAAGTATTAGTTACATGACTAAATATTAAAGGAATTAAAATTAGATTACATATGTTAATTGTCTTAACCAATGTAAAACTAAAGAACAAATATTTGATATTATTGTCATTCTTAGTGTTGAATTGATTTTCTTTTTGCATCAATATTAATTTGATTTTGATTTAAGCTTTATTATAATTACCAACATCTATGGACTATAATCTTTATTGGACCATTTAGAATTCTAAGTTTCAAACTTGAAATAATATATTAAAAGATAAAACTATGAAAAAGTATAAGAAATATTTAAAAATTATATCAAAGTAAATAGTTTTATGTATAAAATAAAAATTTAAAGTTATCTATATAATGTCGGGTTGTTTTTTTTTTAGTTTAAAACCAAACCAACTCAAATATAGTCGGTTTTTTTTCAATACCAAACCAAGTCAAACCAAACTACTAGTCGATTTATTTTCCAGTTTGACTCGATATGTGGTTTGATTCGGTTTTGTACACCCCTAGTAATAGAGATGCAAATTTGATCCAACAAAGAGGTGTTATATTGGTGTTATGTCTAACTATTTAGATCGAAATTGTGCACGGAAGGACGATCAGACAGAGGCAGAGCCAAAATTTCAGGCTTGTGGGTTCTAAATTTTAAAAAGGATAAAGATCTTAAAATTCACAAAACACAAATTATGTTAATGAGATGTTTGAAAACATTACCTTAGATATTGTTATTCTAAAAACTTATTTTAATAATGTGAAGATTTGAGTAATTTAATTTAAAGTTCTAAAATATTGTTAATGAAAGATGAATAATTTTTTAAATATAAATTTCGAACATTTTTACTATAATCTAGAATACTATTTTAAGTGAGAAAAAAATATTAAATTCATCATTAATATTTTCGCACCTAAAATATATTTTTTACTAGTTCATTGTGACCTTGAACCATTACTACCTTCAAAAGTTAAAATTTCGAAAAGCAAATAACAATTATTCACTATGATCAATTATCAATATGTGGGATAACCGTAGAAAATATTAAAATTTGATTTTCGAATAGATAATTCTACGGTGTAAAAGCAAACAAATAAGAAAAAAATGAAAAAGGAGAGGCGAGAGTACACAGTACATATCGAAGGGCAGAGGTCGGATGATAGCAATCAGATCAACAATAAAAGTTGAAATCCTAACTTTTGAAAATAAATTTGGGTTAAAGTTTTGGAATATTTGAGTAGAAATCAACGAAAATATATTTCAGTTAAATTTTTTTGAATCTCTGAGTAGAAATCAATAGTTAGATATTGTTTTAGAGTATGACCCAAACACTATTTTTATTTTTATCATTAACCGTTTTTCTATTTTTTTTAATATATAAATTATCATTTTCCAATTTTCTATACCGGTTTTCCGTTCTTGCTTAATTTTTTTTTATAAATTATCATTTTCCAATTTACGCGCGTAGTGAATGACTTCACAGGGTGTGTGGAGACCACTGGGCCACCCGCCTCATTATGCTAGAGGGTTCGCAGGAAATTTATGTGTACGTTTTATTTGATATTTTAATAAAGTATAGGATCTACGGAAAAGCCAGTGAGTTCGTCCGAACCCCCTTTCGCTACAGTAGCTCCGCCCCTGCAATTAGATTGAGATTGGTATGGAGCTGCATTTCTAGATGATGAGCCAAAATTTGGTGCAGCAAACAAACTATAAACACGAGGCACAAGATCATTTAGACTTTCTTGATTCAAAGCTTCTTTGCCTAATAGTGGGACTATGTTAAGAATTCATCACCAACTTAACTAATGTCCAAAACACTTCGGAAAAAAATCTAGAAAATTTCGAAGATGTAAAGAAATAATGAAAGACTTTTAGAATGAGTATCCTAGAGAGAAAAGTCTAGAAATGTTCTTTTCACCCTTATCTAGGTTATTCCATCACCAACTATAAATAGAGGTGGTTCATTTGAGTTGTAACCAACCAAGTAAGTAAGTGCTTAAACAAAGCAAGTAAGAAAATAAAAGTGAGTTCTCAAGTAAAGGGTGTTTCTGAAGCAAGCAACAAGTGATTAAGTTTGTAAGACCGAAGCAGGTCCTTACTTTGATTATTGCAAAAGATTTTTCCAAACACAAAAATGACTTTGTTTTACCATCACCAAAACTAGACTGCCAAAATTGAAAATACTAAAATAAAGGAGTTATTCAAATGAGATAGAGATACAAAGCTGACAAGTGCTACATTTACAAGCTCAGTCAACAAATATAGCAACAGTTACATGCAAATTGTAATAGAGATGCAAATTTGGTCCAACAAAGAGGCGTTATATTGGTGTTATGTATAACTTTTTAGATCGAAATTGTGCACGGAAGAACGATCAGATTGAGATTGGTCTGGAGCTGCATTGCTAGATGATGATCACACATTGCTATTGACATTAGTTGATGATGACACATTGACATTGGCATAGCTTTCATTAGAAGGAAGGATGTTGCGTTTGAGTGTTGCTTTGTTCCTGTTATGTCTACCAAAAAATGTCTCGGCGGCGTGAGTGGCAACTTGGGTTGAACTTCTACTGGGCACAAACCGTTTGGCGATTTGATTCCAATTTCCTTTTCCAACTTTGCCCAATCCCATCAAGAAACTTTTGTGTTCATCCACACTCCATCTATCTTTCTTGTTTGAATGATCTCCTGAATTTTCACTTTCATCAACTAATACATCCTTGTCTTTTTCTTCAGTCCATCTGTTTCTCTTCATTCTTGATCCTGAATCTTCATTGTGATGATCACTACTGATCACAACCCCAAATAGTTTAATGCTATGATTTCTCTCCCCATTTTCTTGATTTTTCCTTTCTTTTTTTTTCACTTTTGTCAAATTATGAGTACAGAATTGGAGAGCAAGTTATTTATCAGCGATAATCCTTAGTTACCATTAGAATCTAACTGAACGATTAGGAAAATAAAAGTTGCACCAATTATTTTCTTGCACTTAAAATATTTTATTTAATTATAATCTTTATTCTATAGGATTTACTTTTTTTTTTACTTATTCATTTGCTTCAAAATTATCTTCAATATACGTAGTTGCATAAAGTGTTATTTGTGGTTTTTTTTTTGTCAACAACAGGAGCTATGAGTTTCAGAATGGAATTCCATCGGTCCCAACAGCTCCAAAATGTGGAAATTTGTCTAGGAGTGTAGTCGTCTTTAGTTTCAATGTCGTTTCATGGATGTGAGCCCTTGGGTTGGAAGTTTAAGTATAATTATGGCAAAAGTTGGCTTTGGTCAATATTCGGAGTTCGGACGCTCAGATTGAATATCTGACGATTTCATTAAATTTGGGGGATGGTTTTAGGCATAGGTGAGGTTTTGGTTGAATTTTCAGAGGTTCTGAGGGCAGTTTGATATTTTTGGGTGAAAGTTAGTTTATTGTGACTTTAATGGGTTTCGGGTCAAGGAGGCCTCAAATCTGTGTTTCGATGGTTCCATTGAGTCCAGAACATCGAGTTTCTTTGGGTAGCATATCTGGTTTGTGTGTTCAGAATTCCGAATGAATCTCAAGAGTCTTTTCAGTGAATTTTGTTGAGCCTTGGTGTTGCTAATGTTGTTATTGTCTATTTAATTGCCCATCGCGATCACGGATCCCTCTCTCGCGATAGTGGATTCCTCTCTTGCGATCGCATAAGGGTCTTAGGTTGTGCGTTGTGATTGCAAAGGGTTAGGTCCTTAGGCATCGCAATCGTGTGGTTTATGCTGCGATTGCGAGGGTCAAATTAATGAGTTGACCATCAATGCTCATTGTGATCGCGAGGCGTGGGGTCACGATGGCGAAGAGTTAAATTGACCTGAAAAGTGTTCTTTTTCAAAATCAGGTTTCATCTCCATTTCACAATTTTTGAACTTTGGAAGCTCAATAGAGGCAATTTTAAAGCTATTTTTCAAGATTCTTCGATTGGATAACAACTTTTAACTCCCCATTTTTTATTACTCATTATTTATTTTAAGACTTCCCCACCTATTTGCTAATTTTGAACTCAGACTTTTTGAATATTCTCAAGATCTTGGGTTTCAAGGAAAATGGTGATTTGAGCTTGGTTTCAACTCATTTTTCGATTTGATTTTCACTATTGAGCTCCCAAACCTTTGGTAATATGATTTTTTCACTAAATTCCAGATTCCACCAGAGTTTGTACCTCTACAAAGAAGAACAAGAATTAGAAAGAGAAGAGCAAGGGAGGGGGAGGGAAGATAACAGATCACAAGAAATGATACTTACTTCGGAGAGCTGAGAAAGGAAGAAAAATTGATGAAAATGAGGTAAAGTGTGAATGATCCACAACATATAGAAGCGAAAAGCCATGATCAAGAAGCTCGTTGTGGCGACAAGGAAGAGAGATTAAGGAGACAAGATTAGCAAATCCCATGTTTTAGGATATAGATACACAGAGACAGATCCAGAATTTGAAGGTTCTGAGTGCCACATGGTCCAAATAGGATAAATAGATCGATTTGTTAAATTTTAGGATATAGATACGGATCCTGGACGGTTCCCTTAATGGACTGGGTCAGGGATTTTTTGTTGTATTTTGGATATTTTGTTTTGTTTTTTCTTGGCTTTTTGATAATTTTGGATCCTGTTGGATCTGCTTTGTACAAATATTTTATTTGAATTAAGGAGCCTTAGCTACACCAATTTTATTTTATTTTTAAAAATCAAGGGACATGCAATATTTATACACAAAAAAATTGTTTTTCGCATTGTAAAAGGTCTTAAGATTTGTAATATCTTGACTTATTTTTCCGCATGATCTCCTCATAGAGTTGTCATTGTAGTAGAGTTTAACTATCAAGTTCAGAATTGATTGATGTGGTTCCTCTAATCCTAGGACACCCGAATATTAAACCATGAACAAAAAAAAAAGACTTCAGAGAAAATCATATTGGGTAGTGATTGTGAGTCTCAATTCTTAACCGAAGGGGACACCAAAAGGTCTTTACTCTTCTATCCCTCATATGGATACAGGGAAAGTAAAGCTTTTGATTTTTTCAAAATAATAAAGAAAAGGAAGAAAAATAATAAAGAATCAAAAAATAATTAAACAAAGGAGTAAAGATAAGAAAAGGAATAAAAAAAAAAAAGGAAATTCAAAATAAAATAAAAAATACAAAAAAATAAAAGGGACCAATAGATGAGAAAAAAGTGGAAAAAGGAGAAAAATAAAGGAAAAAACTAGAGTAAAATAAATAAATAAAGAAAGAAAGAAAGAAAAAAGAAAATTAAAAAGAAGAAAGTAAGTATATAAAATGTATATTTTATTAATTTTAATTTTAATAAATAAGTTAATGATTTTAGTATTTTTTTTTAATTGCTTATTGTTGTGTATATTTAATTAAAAAATAATAATTAACCTACCCTACCCCACTCATCACACTACCCTATTTTCCTACCCCTCCCTAAAATTACTCTCCCTTTTACCCCCACATCATCCCACACTCTCCCTATTTTCCTGCTTGGCACAAAGTCTTTAGCAATTCGAGTCCAATTTCCTTTTCCAAGTTTGTCCAATCCAATCAAGAATGCCCTCTGTTCATCTTCACTCCATCTTCTTCCCTTACTACTACGACTAGTACTAGTACTACTCATCCCTCTCGTTTCACTTGTTGATTCTTCTCCAAAGGAAGAAACATTGTTGACAGTAATCTCAACGCCAAACGATTTGATGGTTTCTTGGATTTGTTTGTCATGTTTTTTCACTAACTACACTTTCTTTTTTTTGCAAATTTTACATAGTAGAAAAAATAGAATGAGCAACAAGTGTAGTTGGAGAAGGAAATGTCCCAATTAGTACAAAATGACCCTATAGCATCTTTACAAAAAAAGAATTGTTTTAACTTTTTTTCTCTTTTCACATTCACACTTCTTTCTTTCTATTTCTCATTTTAACTAAAGAATAAAAGAAAAAAAATAAAATAAGAATAAAAAACTCAAATAATAATAAAAAAAAAAGTCATAAAATGAAAGGTCATATACATCCCTCTACATAGAGCTTTTAAAATAAAAAAAATAAGAAAACAAATTTAAAATTATTTTTTCACTCCGGTTAAATGAAAATGATATATGTGTTTCATTTTTGTAATAAAATGGTATATGTGAGCTACTTTTATAATGATAAAATGTATATGGGGCACTTTTGTAACAAATGGTATATCAGTTCTAAATAATCAAGTTGAAGGGTATATTGAGTTCTTTTCCCTAATTTTAATAAGTTAAACTTTTGTTTCTTGTACCGTTGCCTTAATAAAAGTATATTAATTATTATGGTAATATTTTTAAGTAGTAATAATATATGGAATAGTTACTTTTGATTTATTTCCTTATTTGGTAGATACGCGGTTTCCTTATTTGTTCCGCTCCTAAGTCGTCCTAACAGATTAGGAAATACCACAGCGCTTATAAATAAATAATTGGGCATTTGCTTCTCTAACTACACTTCTTACTCGTATTTTTTCTGCAATTTGCAAAAAAAGAAAAGAGTAGTTAGTGAGAAAATATGGCAAAGAAAATCCAAGAAACCATCAAATTGTTTGGCGTTGAAATTAGTGTGAAGAATGTTTCTTCCTCTGGAGAAGAATCAACAAGTGACACAAGAGGGATGAGTTGTACTAGTCATCGTAATAGTAAGGGAAGAAGATGGAGTGATGATGAACAGAGAGCGTTCTTGAGTGGATTGGACAAACTTGGAAAAGGAAATTGGACTCGAATTGCTAAAGACTTTGTGCCAAGTAGAACACCAACACAAGTTGCGAGTCATGCCCAGAAATATTTTGACAGACAAAAGGAGAACAGAGCACTCAAATGCAAAAAGTCCAGTGTCTTCGACATTAATTTGGACGAAGAATCCTCAAATACTTGTCTGGAATTGTTGTCGAAAAGGGCATTAAAGGAATATAACAAGAAAGGGAAAGAGGTTTTGAATGAAGAAAATCCAATTTCAGCAATGCCAATCAGCTACAGACTTCCTCCTGATGGAAGCTATGGCTATTGCTATGTTCCCATGAACAATTATCAGTTTAATTTTATGTCATCATTCCACCGGGCTTCGTCTCAGTCTAGTTCTGCGTCCGTGGATGATTTAGATCTAACTCTCTAGCTATTCAACATACAATAATGATTTTTGTTTTGACAACATTTTTTTGGATCTCTTCGGTGATGTAAAAATTGACAGCTTTATGTTGGTCTCTCATGTAACTATTTTGTATTTTTCATTTGTGGTATCAATCAATAGCACTACAGTTTCTGGTTTTCATAGTAATATATTGATCACACCCAAATTTATCTGAATGAATGTCTACTTACTGCAATATCCTAGACTTATTCTCCCGAATTAGTTCTAGTTACCAATTCAACGACTGACAAGGATCATCACGCCAAAGTCTAATCTCAATGTAATCTAGGAGCATGATAATTAAGTAGATGTTGTATCGGAACATAGAATCCTCTAGGCCATAGTGGGGGAGGGGTGAGTATTCAGCTATCTTAAATAAGAACAAAAAATTCATATATCTTCTAGCTGTGTGAAGGTTTTCGATGATCGATGCATTTGTAGTGATGATCAGCTACTATTTTTCTTTATCTAGCAGGTTTTTAAAACATGTGTCTTTGCTCTTAACTTTATTTGAGATAACATGCCATGTTTTGATGCTTTGTACAAATTGAACACCAACCAACTGAGCTACTAAGATTTTCTTTCTAAAAATATAGTTTTGAGTTTGATTCTCCTCTTAATAGTTCTAACAAGTTATATTCTGATTTTGGATGAGGGAAACATGTTTTCTGAGAGTATGCAAAAATTCATTCTTTTGTAATTTCATTTCAAAATATAATCACGTTTTCCATTTTCTGACAAATAGATGACTCGAAAAACAAATTGCAGATGAATGGCAAGATAACTTTGCCAAAATGAAAGAAGCCTCGGAATCCAATGTAAGCTCCAACGGTCAAGCTCAAATAATTTCTCTCCGTTGATATCTACTGGAAAATGGTCAATCCAGCACGCGGATTAAGTATCACATTCTTTTTCTATTTTAATAAGTGCAAGAAAGACATTTAATTAATCATCTCTGAAAATAATGTAATGGAACCATAACAAGCTTACCATGAGATTTCAATAAGATAAACAATGGAAGAATAGGGTGCACAGTGGAAACAGTGTCGATGATCCCATCCAATGTAAACAAATAAACAAAAGGTTAGCCTCCGTTCTCGTGTTTATATTGTTGAACAGGCATAATTATTCAAATCAAGAAAATCTTAAGTTTTTAGATGAGATTGTCACATACTTCTACACATGAGCCTCGTGCATTCAAAAGCCTCAACGCCACCATTGTCAAAAAAATAAAAATAAAAAATTCACGTGCTTGACTCATGAAAAAGAATCAGGCAGCATACAAATTATTTAATAAGATATACCCAACTATTAGAAATTATTTTCTTGCACTTATGTATAGGAATTACTCTTTCTTTTATTTAGTATTTCAATAATTGGGTGTGATCAATATATTACTATGAAAACTTGAAAATGTAGTGTTATTCATACCACAAGTGAAAAATACAAAATAGTTACAAAAGAGACAAACATAACGCTGACAACTACTACATACAAGCTTAATTCAAAATAAGGTAAATGTAGTCAAAACAAAAATCTTAAGTGTTGTATGTATCTTGAATAGCTACAGAGTTAGAGCTAAGTTATCCCCAGATGCGGAATTAGACTCAGACGAATTCCAATGGACGAAATCAGAATTAGTTGATGATGACACAAAATTAAACTTACAATTTGTCATGGGAACATAGGCATAGCTTCCATTAGGAGGAACTCTGTAGCTGATTGGCATTGGTGAAATTGGACTTTCTTCATTCAAAACTTGTTTGCCTTTCTTTTTAATGCCCTTTTCGACACCAATTCTGGACAAGTATTTGAGGATTCTTCGTCCAAATTAATGTCGAATACACTGGACTTGTTGCGTTTGATTGCTCTGTTCTCCTTTTGTCTGTCAAAATATTTCTGGGTGCCATGGGAAGACATTTGATTTAAGCCTATTACAAACTATAAGGATATAAGGTTAGTAGGAGTGTAATGTTGTCTTGTCGTGCGTAGGTTTATGCTTGTTAGTGCCTGTCGTAGTACTGCTAGTCGTATCTTCGTAGTTCTTGTCATATGCTGAGTATTGTGTTTCGATTATCACACTATTTTGTTATTGTTATTGTTTCTTTCTTTGTAGACTTTACACTGCTTTTCTTATTAACGGCTATGCTTTCTGTCTGATTCTTTGAATGTTCTAAGCCCATATATTCCATCAGAATTGAGCAACACTTGGTCATCCGCAAATATATATTTCGGAATGATTGGTAACACTTGATAAAAATCGCTGTTATCTCTCATTGTAAATAATTTAGTCCAAGATTCTTTCATACCATACACTTTCATTACCCACAAATAAAAAACAACAGCATCCACCTGGATACAAACAAAATTTGCACTAAGCATTCCACCTAACACTGTTATGCCTTGCTCGAGTCGATTGTGTCACGCGACAAGGGCATTTCCTTCGACAATGGTAATTCTCCAAACACCTCATTTGAATTATTAAATGAAATCATAGAAAAGCTACCTTCTACGGAATAAACAAGCCAATGAAATGTTCCTCGTACTAATGTCAAATAATTCATATTTTCAGATTCCAGAGCATAGTCACCTTGATAAATTTTAGTTTTTAGTGAGAGAATTTCGGTGGGTGCCTCTCCATTTTCTTCGGGAATCTTAATGACCTTATAGTCATCACTAGTTGGGTCATATCCCAATCCATGAATGTAACCATGAATTGCGGACTACTTAATTTTTTGTTAAATACCAAACTCTCTATTTTCTGTTTTAAAATAATGAAAATGTGTAAATAATATTCACCCAATAAATAAAAGATAAAAGAGAAAAAAATTACTAAGTAGGAAGTGAGAAACTAATGTTGAATCAAAAATATATTTTGAAGGGGGAAAAAACCAAAACAATGCATTTTTGAAAATTTGCTATTTATAAGGAGGAAAATAAAATAAAAAGATAAATATTCATATTAGCAAAAACAAAAAAAAGGTGTCACATCACCCATTCTAAAAAGGCATATTTATTGCTATTGGCTAATAGAGATCACATAAATAAAGAGGTCCGGAAGAATTTACAAAGAAAGAAAATGATAATATTAAAAACAAAAAAAATACAGATTTTTTTTCTTTTAGTAAAAGAGATTAGTAGTAATAATATAGAAAGAAATATATAAGGTAAAGATACTTATAATAATGAAGAAATAAAAAAAAATAAGGCATCTTTGATTATTTGCTAAAAAGATAGTAAATATATACCAAATAAAAAGAGGTGTCACCTTATTTATTTTATGTAAATGTAAAATACCAATTAAATACCAGTTCTTTGTCCTTTTTCCCCCTTCAAAATATATTTTTGAATTAAACATTAGTTCCTAACTTTCTACTTTTAGTAGTTAAATTATTCTACTGTTTTTTCTTTTATCTTTTATTTGTTGGGTGAATATTATTTACACAATTTTATTTTTAAAAAACAAGCTCCCATTCAACTTCAAAAAATAGATATTCTCTTGATCTTTGTGTTAAGATATGGCACCTGGGCCTACTCAACCCCAAAAGCTAGCTTATGAGGGGAGGTTTGTCCAAGTCCATATAAGGAGACCAAATTCTCATCCCTCTATCGATGTGGGACATCTTAACACTCCCCCGCACGCCCAGACCTCAACTAGAGCGTGAACACTTCTAAATGGGGCCCATCATCGGTGAACAACAAATTGGGATGGGCCTGACTCTGATACCATATAAAGATATGACACCTGAGTCTAACTCAACTAGAGGTGTGCATTCGGTTTTTCGGTTCGGTTTTGTGTTATTCGGTTTGGGTTTTTCGATTTTCGGTTTTGAAAAAGTATAACCCAATCCGAACAAAAAAAAAATGGTTCGGTTCGGTTTTTCTCTTTTCGGTTTGGTTTTTTTCGGTTTGGCTATTCGGTTATAACTTATTTCAGAACTAATTAATAACATAATCAAAGTTATATTTGCATGCTTAAAAAAATAAAAATTCCATATAAGGAAAAGTAATAATATTGAATCTCTTAAATATCCTTTCCATTATAATCACGAGTAAAACATTAAAACACAATACTATCAATAATTTCAATGAAACTAACTCTAAACTCTAAAGTACTATCACTAAACACAAATCGCATCGAGGTTGAACCATCAATTCAACTCATGTCTTCAATTAAGATCTCTTAAACCTGAAAAATGATGAAAAAACTTTTTAGAAAGAAGTAGATAAAACTTTCAAAAGCAAATAGCACACAAATAAAATAAAGCAAGAAAAAAGAGCAAACTGCAAAAGTAAAAAAGTTGACTAGCGCCGCTAATTCTAGTTCAGCTAATTTTTTTTTCATGAAAGTGCAAGTAATATGTGGTATTTATAGTTATAATGTAAAACCTAATGCCTAAAATTTAGTGAAATAGGATGACAACAATTTGATATGGGCATAAATATTACGGTAATACTGATTTACTAGTATCCTACTGCCTACATAGTAAACCTAAATATTATATGTGTAATTATTAATCTATTTATATATATATATATATATATATAATTCGGTTTTTCGGTTTTCATTTTTCTAAATCCGAAACCAAATCAAAAAACCAAACAAAGTAACTTATAAATCCAAAACCAAACCAAAAATCCAAATTACAATTCAATTTGATTTGGTTTGGTTTTTCGGTTTAATCCAAATAGTGCACACCCCTAAACTCAACGCCAAAAACTAGCTCATGACGAAAGGTTTGTCCAAGTCCATATAAGGAGATCAAATTTTCATCCATTTACTGATGTGGGATATCTTAACACTTCCCCGCACGGCCAGACCTCAACTGGAGTGTGAACACTTCTAAATAGGGGTCCATCATCGGTGAACAACAAATTGGAATGGAGCTGGCTCTGATACCATGCAAAGATATGACACATGGGCCTAACTCAATCCCAAAAGCTAGCTCATGAGGAGAGATTTGTCCAAGTCCATATAAGGAGAC